ACGTGGTGTGCGGGGTCATCAGCTTCGCCCTGGCGGTGGGCGTCGGCGCCAAAGTGGCCTTCAGCAAGGCGTCGGGCGCGCCCAGGGCGCACCGGGAGATCAACGTGCCCCGGTGAGTGCGCGCTGGGGCCGGAGCGGGGAGCCCGGGGCGGGGCCCGGGGCCGGCTGGGAGGGGCGGGGCTACAGGGAAGAGAGGCGTGGCCCGATGAAGAGGTGGGCGGGGCGCCTCAGGCCTCGGTTCGACACCTGCTTCTGAGCTGTGCGACCGGTGCTGAGGCTTCAGCGGAAGAAGCCAAGGGCCCCGCCCTGGAGGGTAAGCCTGGGCTCCAATCCCGGCTCTGCTACCTTTGAGCTGTGTGACCCTGGGCACGTTCCTTAACCTCTCTGGGCCTCGGTTTCCTGTCTGGAGAACAGGAAAATCCCTGCCCATTCGGACTGTAATGAAGAGTGACTGAGTTCACTGCGGTAGAGTCTTGGCACAAGGTGGTTGTAGGGGCCCCCCAGTCAATCCTGACTCATAGCGACCCCGTGTGACGGCACAGCTGTCCCGGGGGTCCTCCACGCTGACTCCTCTAATGACTCTCCTCACAAACATCCTAACGGAAGCAGTTTGGCGGGTCTTCCTCCCACGGAGCTGCTGGCTGGGTTCGAACCACCGACCCTTTCAGTTTGCAGTCGGCGTCTGTTGTACCACCAGGCTCCTCCTTGGTGCACGGTTAACCCCAAAACCGTTGTCATCGAGTCGAATCCAACTCACGCTCCCGATTGCTGGGTGCCGTCAAGTCGCCTCCGACTCACCGCGACGCCACGAACAACGGAACAAATGCTGCTTCCGGGGTCGCGTGGTCCTGCCACCGGTGCTGAGCCTGAGGCCGTGTCAGCCCATCGCGTTGAGGGGCTTCCCGCGTCCGCTGGCCCTCTACTTCACCAACATGACGCCCTTCTCCAGGGACTGGTCCCTCCTGGTGGCATGTCCAAAATACACGCCACCAAGTCTCCTCGCTCATAAGGAGCCTTCCGGCCGCACTTCTTCCAGGACAGATGTGTTCACTCTCCCGGCAGCCCACAGCCCAGTCAATACACTTCCCCAACACCATGCTTCAAAGGCACCCACTTTTCTTCAGTCTTCCTTATTCATTGTCCTGTTTGGGCATGCATGCGAGATGACTGAAAGTGCCAT